GGATCCCGAGACTCAGTGCAATCAAAGGCTGAGTGGGTATCCCGAGACCCTGTGAAATCAAGGGCTGAGGGGGGATTCCGAAACACAGTGAAATCAAAGGCTGAGGGGGGATCCCGAAACCCAGTGAAATCAATGACTGGCGGGGTTTCAGGGACTCAGTGAAATCAAAAGCTGATGGGGTCTCCGAGACCCAGTGAAATCAAAGGCTGAATGGGATCCCGAGACTCAGTGCAATCAAAGACCGGGTTGGGGATCCCAAGACCCAGTGAAATCAAAGGCTGAGGGGGATCCCGAGACCCAGTGAAATCAAAGGATGAAGTGGATCCAAAGACCCAGTGAAATCAAAGGCTGAGGGGGGTTCCCGAGACCCAGTGAAATCAAAGCCTGAAGGGGATCCCGAGACCCAGTGAAATCAAAAGCTGATGGGGTTCCCGAGACACAGTGAAATCAAAGGATGAAGGGGATCCAAAGACCCAGTGAAATCAAAGGCTGAGGGGGGTTCCCGAGATCCAGTGAAATCAAAGGCTGAATGGGATCCGGAGACCCAGTGACATCAAAGACCGGGGTGGGGATCCCGAGACTCAGTGAAATCAAAGGCTGAGGGGGATCCCGAGACCGCGTGAAATCAATGACTGAGTGGGGATCCCGAGACCCAGTGAAATCAAAGACTGGCGGGGTTTCAGGACTCCAGTGAAATCAAAGAAGTGAGCTCCCGAAATCAAAAGCTGATGGGATTCCCGAGACCCAGTGAAATCAAAAGCTGATGGGGTTCCCGAGACCCAGTGAAATCAAAGGATGAATGGGATCCCGAGACTCAGTGCAATCAAAGACGGGGATGGGGATCCCGAGACCCAATGAAATTAAAGGCTGAGGAGATCCCGAGACAGTGTGAAATCAATGACTGAGTGGGGATCCCGAGACCCAGTGAAATCAAAGGCTTAGTGGGGATCCCGAGACCCAGTGACATCAAAGTCTGAGTTGGGATCCCGAGACCCAGTGAAATCAAACGCTGAGGGAGGATCCAGAGACAAATAAAATCAAAGGCTGAGGGGAGATCCAGAGACCGAGTGAAATCAAAGACTGACGGGGTTTCAGGACTCCAGTGAAATCAAAGAAGTGAGCTCCTGAAACCTGGTGAAATCAATGACTGGCGGGGTTTCAGGGACCGCGTGAAATCAATGACTGAGTGGGGATCTCGAGACCCAGTGAAATCAAAGGCTTAGTGGGGATCCCGAGACCCAGAGACATCAAAGGCTGAAGGGGATCCCGAGACCCAGTGACATCAAAGTCTGAGTTGGGATCCCGAGACCCAGTGAAATAAAAGGCTGAGGGAGGATCCAGAGACAAATGAAATCAAAGGCTGAGGGGGGATCCTGAGACCCAGTGACATCAAAGTCTGAGTTGGGATCCCGAGACCCAGGGAAATAAAAGGCTGAGGGGGGATCTAAAGACCCAGTTAAATCAAAGGCTGAGGGGGTTTCATGGACCCAGTAAAATCAAAGGCTGAGGGGGGATCCCGAAACCCAGTGAAATCAATGACTGGCGGGGTTTCAGGGACTCAGTGAAATCAAAAGCTGATGGGGTCTCCGAGACCCAGTGAAATCAAAGCCTGAAGGGGATCCCGAGACCCAGTGAAATCAAAGGATGAAGTGGATCCAAAGACCCAGTGAAATCAAAGGCTGAGGGGGGTTCCCGAGACCCAGTGAAATCAAAGCCTGAAGGGGATCCCGAGACCTAGTGAAATCAAAAGCTGATGGGGTTCCCGAGACACAGTGAAATCAAAGGATGAAGGGGATCCAAAGACCCAGTGAAATCAAAGGCTGAGGGGGGTTCCCGAGATCCAGTGAAATCAAAGGCTGAATGGGATCCGGAGACTCAGTGCAATCAAAGACCGGGGTGGGGATCCCGAGACCCAGTGAAATCAAAGGCTGAGGGGGATCCCGAGACCGCGTGAAATCAATGACTGAGTGGGGATCCCGAGACCCAGTGAAATCAAAGGCTTAGTGGGGATCCCGAGACCCAGTGACATCAAAGGCTGAAGGGGATCCCGAGACTCAGTGACATCAAAGTCTGAGTTGGGATCCCGAGACCCAGTGAAATAAAAGGCTGAGGGAGGATCCAGAGACAAATGAAATCAAAGGCTGAGGGGAGATCCAGAGACCGAGTGAAATCAAAGACTGGCGGGGTTTCAGGACTCCAGTGAAATCAAAGAAGTGAGCTCCCGAAATCAAAAGCTGATGGGATTCCCGAGACCCAGTGAAATCAAAAGCTGATGGGGTTCCCGAGACCCAGTGAAATCAAAGGATGAATGGGATCCCGAGACTCAGTGCAATCAAAGACCGGGATGGGGATCCCGAGACCCAGTGAAATTAAAGGCTGAGGAGATCCCGAGACAGTGTGAAATCAATGACTGAGTGGGGATCCCGAGACCCAGTGAAATCAAAGGCTTAGTGGGGATCCCGAGACCCAGTGACATCAAAGTCTGAGTTGGGATCCCGAGACCCAGTGAAATCAAACGCTGAGGGAGGATCCAGAGACAAATGAAATCAAAGGCTGAGGGGAGATCCAGAGACCGAGTGAAATCAAAGACTGACGGGGTTTCAGGACTCCAGTGAAATCAAAGAAGTGAGCTCCCGAAACCTGGTGAAATCAAAAGCTGATGGGGTTCCCGAGACCCAGTGAAATCAAAGGCGGAGGGGGATCCCGTGACCATGTGAAATCAAAGGCTGAGTGGGGATCCCGAGACCGAGTGAAATCAAAAGCTGAGTGGGGATCCCGAGACCCAATGAAATCAAAGGCTGAGGGGGGATCCCGAGACCGAGTGAAATCAAAAGCTGAGTGGGGATCCCGAGACCCAGTGAAATCAAAGACTGAGGGGGTTTCAGGCACCCAGTGAAATCAAAGAAGTGAGTTTCCGAAACCTGGTGAAATCAAATGGCTGAGAGGGTCCCAAGACTTAATGAAAACCCTGTCTATGTTTGAACCATATGGTATAAAATTAATAGATACGTCATGAAATGGACGCCTTACCATTATCAGTAAAGATACGGTCCGATCGTTCCACACAGAACGGGTATGGATTTATAACGAGCTTGATGACATGGTATCGCTACTGTTCGACAGACGCTTCAATCCGTTACAACTTCTGGTCCCGTTTTAGACGTCTCCGGCGGTATGTGTTACTCATCGCGACAATTAAATTCTCCAACTGTTTGTAGAGTACGTCTTCTTTAATCTTCTTATGATCATCCAATTTACATATGTGCATATTTTTGTGTCAAAAATATTTTGGTTTATTGATCCAATCAGATTGTTTTAGAAGGTCCGATTTTCACCGCGTGGTTTACAAAAATAAAACAGAAATGCCATATTTCCAGCTGGGGTAACAAAACGTTTGTTGAACTTGGTAAAGTGCCTATTTGAGGTTGAATATACTTCATACTACGGAATCGATTTTAGAAAATTACACTTTATACTGATAGTTGATTTCATCATTTTATTGGCATTTATATGTATCAGCAAATCTTGCTGTGCGTTTTCAAAAAATAATAAACTTTTGTTTACCATTTTTGAAAATGTGCCATCAATCTCATGAACCTTTCACGTCAAATGGTTTTGTGAACATTTAAACGGTAGAGCAACTGAAGAAAGTCGAAATCGTTTTCCGTTATTCTGTAGTACAATGACCTAACATTGAGACTTCATCTCCTCGACATCTCTGTATCTGTTTCTCCAGTACTCCCCGCCATCTCTGTATCTGATTTCCCGTACTCCCCGCCATCTCTGCATCTGTTTTTCCCGTACTTTACACCATCTCTGTATCTTTTTCGCCCGTATTCCCCGCCATCTCTGTATCTGTTTCTCCCGTACTCCCCGCCATCTCTGTATCTGTTTCTCCCGTACTTCCCACCATCTCTGTATCTGTTTCTCCCGTACTCCTCGCCATCTCTATATCTGTTTCTCCCGTACTCCCCGCCATCTCTGTATCATTTTCTCCCGTACTCCCCGCCATCTCTGTATCTTTTTCGCCCGTATTCCCCGCCATCTCTGTATCTGTTTCTCGGGTACTCCCCGCCATCTCTGTATCTGTTTCTCACGTACTCCCCGCCATCTCTGTATCTGTTTCTCCCGTACTTCCCACCATCTCTGTATCTGTTTCTCCCGTACTCCTCGCCATCTCTATATCTGTTTCTCCCGTACTCCCCGCCATCTCTGTATCATTTTCTCCCGTACTCCCCGCCATCTCTGTATCTGTTTCTCCCGTACTCCCCGCCATCTCTGTATCTGTTTCTCCCGTACTCCCCGCCATCTCTGTATCTGTTTCTCCCGTACTCCTTGCCATCTCTGTATCTGTTTCTCCCGTATTTCCCGCCATCTCTTTATCTGTTTCTCCCGTACTTCCCACAATTTCTGTATCTGTTTCTCTCGTATTCCCCGCCATCTCTGCATTTGTTTCTCCCGTACTCCCCGCCATCTCTGTATCTGTTTCTCCCGTACTTCCCACAATCTCTGTATCCATCTCTTCTCAACTCCCCACCATTTCTGTATCCGTCTCCGTCAGCTTTGTATCAATCCCACTACCTCACAAAGCGGGTCGCGCCACTGCGTGTTGCACCACTCCAAACTGATTCCTTGATAAAACTCAGTGCTTATATCTAGACTAGAGTAAAATCTCATAAATTGTCTATTGATAGCATCGAATTGGAAATGATACATTATCGTTTAAAGTTGCTTTGTTTATAAACAGATTCAAAACGTTCAGTCCGAGATATACCGAGCAATGTCATTAGGGACTATTTAACAGTAATAAACATGTAGATAAGGCATTCAGTTAAAATCTATCCCAGATAGCTTATCACGTGATTTATAAGGGACTCATTCAGAGAGCACATTGCCTGTGTTAACATAGTATCCTCGTCTTCTGTTAATTTCGTTTGATCGGATTTTATATCGTTTTAGATCAACACGCAAATAAATAAAAAAAAATAAAGCAACTGTTTTGACGAATTATATTTCACAGGAAAAACTTTCTTTGAGGGGGAAACGCATTCGACAGACAAACATGGGTTTAGCGTAAAACGATAATGAATTATATTTCACAGAAACACGACTTTCTTTAAAGAGGAAAACACATCAGACAAACGGGGCTCTAGCGTAAAATGATAATGAATTATATTTCACAGAAACACGACTTTCTTTGAAGGGGAAAACGCACGAATGTAGAACGTTACATGAAACATAAACATGATATGGTGAATAGAGACATAAATTCTATAGAATATGAAGGTAGAAAGTTACATGAAACATAAACATGATATGGTGAATAGAGACATAAATTCGATAGAATATGAAGGTAGAGAGTTATATGAAACACAAACATGATATGGTGAATAGAGACATAAATTCTATAGAATATGAAGGTAGAAAGTTATATGAAACATAAACATGGTTTGCTGAATACAGAAAGTAAATTCTATAGAATATGAAGTTTCCAATGTGTATCCCGTAAATGTTGCTGTGTATGAGCTCTGTGCATCAACCATCGACTTTGATTTCTGATTTAAAATTTAAACAGATACCAAAAGTCTTGTGTTGTCATACAAATCTCTGATATCTCAGGCTTCGTGTGGTCATACAAATCTCTGATATCTCAGGCTTCGTGTGGTCATACAAATCTCTGATATCTCAGGCTTCGTGTGGTCATACAGATCTCTGATATCTCAGGCTTCGTGTGGTCATACAGATCTCTGATATCTCAGGCTTTATGTGGTCATACAAATCTCTGATATCTTAGGCTTTATGTGGTCATGCAAATCTCTGATATGTCAGGCTTTATGTGGTCATACAAATCTCTGATATGTCAGGCTTTGTGTGGTCATACAGATCTCTGATATCTCAGGCTTCGTGTGGTCATACAAATCTCTGATATCTCAGGCTTTATGTGGTCATACAAATCTCTGATATGTCAGGCTTTGTGTGGTCATACAAATCTCTGATATCTCATGCTTCGTGTGGTCATACAAATCTCTGATATCTCAGGCTTCGTGTGGTCATACAGATCTCTGATATCTCAGGCTTCGTGTGGTCATACAGATCTCTGATATCTTAGGCTTTATGTGGTCATACAGATCTCTGATATCTTAGGCTTTATGTGGTCATACAGATCTCTGATATCTCAGGCTTTATGTGGTCATACAAATCTCTGATATCTCAGGCTTCGTGTGGTCATACAGATCTCTGATATCTCAGGCTTCGTGTGGTCATACAAATCTCTGATATCTCAGGCTTCGTGTGGTCATACAAATCTCTGATATCTCAGGCTTTATGTGGTCATACAAATCTCTGATATCTCAGGCTTCGTGTGGTCATACAAATCCAAATTATTAATTGGTGTTCACTGTACCGTAACTGCAGTCTATGATACATTTCTGTTCCTTGTACCGTAACTACATAAGATGATACACTTGTGTTCATTGTACCGTAACTACATAAGATGATAAATTATTGTTTATTGTACCGTAACTACAAAGGATTATATATTATTATTGATGATACAATGGTGTTAATTGTACCGTAACTACATACGATATATTGGTGTTCATTGTACTGTAACTACAAAAGATGATACATTGGTGTTCATTGATCCGTAATTACATAGGATTATATATTATTATTGATGATACAATGGTGTTCATTGTACCGTAACTACATACGATACATTGGTGTTCATTGTACTGTAACTACAAAAGATGATACATTGGTGTTCATTGATCCGTAACTACATAAGATGATACAATGGTGTTCATTGTACTGTAACTACAAAAGATGACACATTGGCGTTCATTGTACCATAACTACATAAGATGATACAATGGTGTTCATTGTACCGTAACTACATAGGATGATATATTGGTGTTCATTGTACCGTAACTACATAGGATGGCATACGTGTTCATTGTACCGTAACTACATTAGACGATATATTGGTGATCATTGTACCGTAACTACATATGATGATACAATGGTGTCCATTGTACCGTAACTACATAAGATGATACATTGGTGTACTTTGAACCGCAACTACATATGATACATTGGTGTTCATTGTACCGTAACTACATAGGATGGCATAAGTGTTCATTGTACCGTAACTACATATGATAATACAATGGTGTCCATTGTACCGTAACTACATAAGATGATACATTGGTGTTCATTGAACCGTAACTACATAGGATTATATAGTGGTGTTCATTGTACCGTAACTACATCAGATGATACATTGGTGTTCATTTAACCGTAACTACATAGGATTATATATTGGTGTTCATTGTACCGTAACTACACTGGTATTATATTCCATGGCAACATAGCATACACGAGTCTGAATTAAATACTGATGTGGGGCTATTTCTGAGAACGGTTTTAAAAAGTGTATCAATGACGATACACGAGTCTGGATTAAATAGTGATGTGGGGGTATTTCTGAGAACGGTTTTAAAAAGTGTATCAATGACGATACACGAGTCTGGATTAAATAGTGATATATGATATTAGACCCCCAAGATTTTTAAGAGTGTATCAACATCTAATTATAATTGTTGTGACAAACCTTGCATAGTACTTTGTTACCAATGAATTTATCAGGCAGCTACACATGCTATATCAAGGCTATGTTGAGAACTTTCAAGTAAGACAATATTAATTTTCATTGTAAGTATTGTATACATAAGAACAAAGAATGCGTATTTGCTATCAATTCAAATGACGTCATTTTGTTTATTCACACGTGACTTAAATGCAGCCTACATTGTGTTAAACATTTCGCTTTCTGCTTGTAGATCAATTGTATCAAGTTTGTGCATACAAATGTCGCCATGCATTTGGCTCGGAGTTGCATCGCCAATGAGTTGCATCGCCACTAAGGTGCATAGATAATTATCATAAATATCGATCCAGAATCGATTATAATGATCAGGGCATTGGATCATCATTAACAATGACGGTTCGGAAAGTTGATTCAAAGTTTCTAAGTATTACAAAATACAGTATTCTGCGACGTCAGACATATTGCACGTTAAAAAACTCCAAACATTTCCGGTTTAATACCGTACGGTCTGTGTCCGTCTTTATCATCATAAAATAAAATGCGATTAGCTGCGCTGACCTTCGACTTTCAACCAAATGGTCCGCATATCATACAAGTATTGAGGTACAAACACGTTAAAGCAGCTTCGCCACATGGTGTGATCTGCACTTACCATATGGTGTGACAAACAGATTTCTCTAGATAAAAAACTTGAATACCCAATAATCATCCATCTTTATAGTCTTACAAAACAAGGCTGTCCACCAATGAAAGGAATGCGGTAATATTTTACAGTTTTCGCGGAAGTACAAAAATATATATATAATAAAAACAACAAATATATAAAAAAAAAATAAGCAGGGGTTTACATAGATACGCATCACCTTATCTTTCTCTTTTGATATAAATATATTGAAAAGTTAAACACTATTAGGCGGTTCATGAAATATAGTGTACATGATGTCTTTTATTTCAAAATTGGTCCAGAATGACCTTTGACCCTTAATCTTGACAAATAACTGCTAAAACCTGATATGGCTATTTGCAGTGGCTCATGAGATATCTTCTACACAAGGATAGAACGGACGGACGGACATACAAAATGATTACTACATAAAACATCAAGAAAATACTAACATGTCAACATAATCGTAATACCAACTCAAATTCCATAAAACTAGGGCAAATATATGAACAAAAGAAAGGTTTAAACTGACACTCCTGAACAGAAACATACAAGTTAACAGGGATGTTGTAATATGTTGTTACACACACGAGACTGTTGTATTCAGAAACATACAAGTTAAGGGAGATATTGTAACATGTTGTTACACACACGAGACTGTTGTATTCAGAAACATACAAGTGGGATGTTGTTACAAACTCGAGACTGTTGTATTCAGAAACATACTAGTTAAGTGAGATATTGTAACATGTTGTTACACACACGAGACTGTGTTGTATTCAGAAACATACAAGTTAAGTGAGATATTGTAACATGTTGTTACACACACGAGACTGTTGTATTCAGAAACATACAAGTGGGATGTTGTTACAAACTCGAGACTGTTGTACTCAGAAACATACTAGTTAAGTGAGATATTGTAACATGTTGTTACACACACGAGACTGTGTTGTATTCAGAAACATACAAGTTAAGTGAGATATTGTAACACGTTGTTACACACACGAGACTGTGTGGTATTCAGAAACATTTATGTCTGGTGTGATATTGTAATATTTTAAACACACAATTTGGGGAGCATATCCATAATGCATGTATTTGTCGATTATTTTTGTTACACGTTTGTAATTATTTGTTCATGTCTCCCGTAGTCCTTCAGTTGTTCAATGCATACCCTTCAAAATGATCCAAATGTACCTAAAGCGTTTATACAACGTATATCTAACTGCTTGCACAGTATGATAGA